CATGTCAGAAAGAGCAGAGAGCGACACATGCACTGTTACAGCTATGCTAGGCTACGATGTGCCGTCAAACGTATGGAACTCGCCGTCGTCGAGTCACCGTCGAACAGCACCCACACACACCTCGATCGCCTGAGGACTTTTTCAGATGGGACGAGACAACGTGCGTGCCAACGCCAGACACACACACACACGCCAGTGTAAAACGGAACGGGGAATAATCGGCCGCCACTTTGTACGAACCTGCACCCATCCGGCATAAAAAGCTTATTTTATGGGTTGACCGAGACATGAGTTGATCATGACCCGTTCGGGCTGGCTTGCGACTCGTGTGCTAACTAACCAAAGAATGTTAACAGTGTTGGTTATCGAATAAATCCCATCCCAATCATACGCAAAGCCAGTTATACGCCAATCCTGCACAACTTTTTGTTTAAAAATGCACGCATGACGCATGTCGCGCCAACCTACTTTGCAACGGACTCTATACGCCAATGACCATCACCAACTAAAAATACGCAAAACATCTTGTGATGGTGAACGAGGGTTGTAAGTTAAAATTTGGCACACCATTTGGTATTAGCCGATAGTTATGGCGACGCACACAGGAACTGGTCGCCGGCCGGAAACCGTTGGGACGGCGCGGGAGGACTGGGTCGGGCGAAGTTTGGTGCGGCGGAGGGCGGCGGCCGTGTTGGCCGGCCACTGACCACCTGAGCTGACCTGGTGCGTGCGGTGCGGCATACAGCAGCACTACGTAACGTCATGGTGATGGTCACCGCAGCACACCACACGGACACGGCTGCTCGCTTGATCAAGCATTCACACGAAAGCAATCACGGCAACTCTGGACCAAATCGCAGTGGCGCCATCGGTTTTTAGAGGCACGGGCACAGGCACAGGCAGCGTGTTGACAAAACAGAGCACAACCCGCAAAAGAAGAAGAAGAAGAGAAGGAAAACAGAGCGCAGCAGGAGGTTGCACGACTAGTATGCATCAGATGAGACACACACGTAATTCTCTGACAATTTAATCAGCCGACAGCGAGACCCCTTCTTCTTCCCCCGTCTCTCTCTCTCTCTTATTTTAGCCATTTACTTTCGCTTCTCTAGAATACAAGACGAAAAGAAAGAAAACATTTCAGCGTGTGTCCGTCCACTAGTTGTATCATCATCTCATCTGGTTGGTCTGACTCTGATTAGTCTCCCTCTCCTTCCCTCGTACTCCCTCCGTTCCGATTTACTCGTCATGACTTTAGTTCAAATTTGAACTAAAACCACGACGAGTAAATCGGAACGGAGGGAGTACTACTAGTACAGGAGAAATCTACAAAACTCACGCCCCCAACCACCTCCCTCCCTCGCGTATTGTTCTTCCCCCCTGCCCCTGCCTTCCCCCGTCCCGGCCCCTACCTATCCATTTACTCTCCCTGTGGACTGTGCTGTGCCGCCGCCGCTCACTCGCCGGCGATCTGAGCCGACCCACCCGGGAAGAACACACACACCAAGCAAGCCCGCCTCCGCCCGGCCGGCCGGCTGCCCTCCTGCCTGCCAGTGCCAGGTACCCGCCGACGACGCCCGGCCGTTGTCCTCTACAGTTCCCTACCTTGTACTACAACTAATTGTTTATCTGCAACTCCTTACTTTGGTTGTAGTACTCCTAGTAATTGTTTATTTGCCAACTTCTCAAGTCCTCTAGTAGTATGTGTCCTTGACAAGCCGCCACCCGATCCGTTTCTGCGCCGCGCCTTAGCTAGCTAGCCGCTAATGCTTACTGTACTTTTTTTCTTGTGGCACCTCCTCCGATTTGAGATCCAGACTGACCTGCAACCTGGAGCAAAGCTTCTTGCACTTTTGTGTCTTTTCTTACCCGGCAGGTGCTTCCACGGTAGATTTGAGGTTAATTGCAGTTTTGTGTTTGTTTTATCCGTGATGAGGTGTTGATTTGAGGTTCATCTCAGGGAAAATATCTAGTGCTACCATGATACAAGCTCCTGGGTCGTTGGATTCTCAGAACTGATGCTTCTCAATAACACCTCACGGATAGATGAAGAAAACAGCCTAGCCGGGTTTTATAACTTTTAAGAGAGAGAGAGAGAGAGCCGCACGCGTGCTGTCATGAATTTAAGCCCAACTTGGCCTCTCCTCAACTTTCACTTCTTATAAAATCGCAGTCCAATTTGGCCTCTGTTGCATGTTCCCGTTTTTATAATATTTCCTTATTTTTTAGGCTAGTTTTTTTTTTGAAAAAAAGAAATTCGTTCCAACTTGGCCTCCCCTGCACTTCCAGTTTTCATAAAATTGTTTTTACTTGAGCCGTGTGACAAGGTTTTGTCCCTTGAAATATGTTCATGCAGAGTACGAGCGCGCTGCCGCCTTGCTGAATGTTCCTCGGAGTTTGACAAGCCTGCCTGCCCCCATAGCAACTGAGTATAATGAGCTGGTGTTGCCTCCCAAGAGGCAAGAAACAACAACAGGAGAAGAATCTCTACTTCCATAGACAACAGGAGAATCTTAACTCTCAAACCAGCATAAGCGGTAAGGCTTCGTTCTGCGTTGCAAAATTTACTCAAGAGTCTACAATTTTGCTGTTATGACCTGTCATGCCTTAATGGAGTATTACTATTATGCCATCACTTCTTGTTCCCACCACTTATCCCTACGAATAATTACAGACATGCCGAAACCAATAGTTCACCTCTGTCTGCACCTTACCTATCGTCCTGAACTAAATCTTGGACAAAAGTTAACTGAACATCCTTCCAAATGTTGCTGCTTTCAGGCATTTCAGCTGAGAAGAACATAAGGCTCTTCTCTTATGCTCAGTTGAAATCAGCAACCGACAACTTCGACCGCAACAACAAAGTCGGCCGAGGTGGTTTCGGGACAGTATATAAGGTGACATTTTCATGTCCCTTTGTGTGGGAATTGTATGCCTCAAACTTGTTTGCTCTAAGCTGCCAAGGCTTGCATGGCTGATCAGCGTATCTGTGTTCAGGGAACCCTACCAAACAAGCAAGATGTCGCAGTCAAAGTTCTCTCTGCCGAATCCAGGCAGGGCATCAGAGAATTCTTGACAGAAATCGATGTTATCAGCAACGTGAAGCACCCTAACCTTGTTGAACTGATCGGCTGTTGCGTTGAAGAAGACAATCGCATTTTGGTGTATGAGTACCTAGAAAACAGCAGCCTCGACCGTGCACTGTTGGGTATGTACCTATACCTATGTCACTATGTTGACATGGTTATTTTCTTTGTGACTTGACATTTTACCTTGTGCTTCCGCAGGCTCCAACAGCGATCCTGCCAATTTTACATGGAGTGTAAGATCTTCCATATGCCTTGGTGTTGCCAGAGGTCTTGCGTACCTGCATGAAGAGATCCCATCACCGATCGTGCACAGAGATATCAAGGCTAGCAATATACTCATCGACAAGAATTACGTCCCCAAGATCGGGGACTTCGGTCTGGCCAAACTATTTCCAGACAATATCACCCACATCAGCACCCGAGTAGCTGGAACAACGTGAGTACATTGCGATTTGCAGTCATTTAACTGGAAAGTACAGTGGTTTCTAAATTACTAGTACTGCATTTCCTTCAATTATTAGTTCTGGTTTCATCTATCCCATTGTCTACTTGCTCCCTGTTTATTCTCCTGTTACCTTGAATTAACTCTGCTTACTGGGTTGCATGCAGAGGTTACCTTGCACCTGAATATGCATGGCATGGTCAATTGACTAAGAAAGCAGATATATACAGCTTCGGGGTCCTTGTAATCGAGATCGTCAGCGGCAAGAGTGGCTCGAGGAGCCTGCTGGCTGATGATAAGTTTCTTCTGGAGAAGGTCAGTTCTTGCTTACTGTCATGTGCTTCTTATATCTGCTTATCTGCATTCCACAAATGAAGACATGTCTGTAATGTAGTTTCAGAAATCAGAACAACAACATTGTCTGGTGAAAATATATCTACTACAGTTATCCTGCAAAAATAAAAAACTTGTTCTGTTCTTTTTTTTTAATTAGAACAAACATAAACTAATTGGGTAGAAAAGGATGGTGAACTTAGCTTGCAGCATCTCCCTGACTTTATGCAAGTAAAAAGATTCGCAAGCTTCAAATGATTTATACCAGCCTTTGGTCCTGGTCTAACTCTGTACATTCATTGACAACAGACCTGGGAGCTGTATGAAGCAGGGAACCTCAAGGAACTGGTTGATCCAGGCCTTGGAGATTACCCTGACGAGGAGGCCATCAGGTACATCAAGGTGGCCCTCTTCTGCACCCAGGCGGCGGCGGCGCGCCGCCCGTCGATGCTGCAGGTGGTGAAGATGCTGTCCAAGCCCATCCGGATCAACGAGAGAGAGCTGACGGCGCCGGGGTACATCAGTGAGTACAACAGCGGTGTCTCCAAGGCGACGGCCTCCAGCGACTCGAGGTTCAAGAACTCGACCACGGCGGACGATTCCGACATGTTCAGCACCGTCGTGCCGCAGACGGTGACCGACGTCAGCCCTAGGTGAAACAAGGCACCAGGGAGGGTGGTCTGCTTCGTTGATTAGAGGGCAGCACATACTTAGATGTGCACTGTGTCTGCTCCTGAGTGTGTTTGTGTCAATGCGGCAAGTAGAAGTTGTAAATAACAGACTAGTGATTCATGCCAGGGCAGTGTAAAATTGCTGACAGCATGTGTAGTTCAATAGCATTTCCAGAGCCATCAATCAGGCATGTCATCACATTCAATGAACATCTCAGCTCTTGGTTGAAGACCACAATGTATTCACCCATCCAAAAAGTCTGGAACCAGGAGAAAACAGTAAAGAGTACAGTTGTTTGCTGTGATACTAAGCTGAATGTTCAGAGCTGATCGATACAAAGCCACCCCGACGCGCATCTCTACAAAAAAGATCGCTACAGGACTGGCGACACTCCGGGTATTGAAAACATAAGAAGTTTCAGTCTAAGCATAGTCATGGTTCTGGTGTTTCTGTAAAAAGAAAAGAAGCTACTCTGCTGATGCTGCGGGCTGCTCCTTCTCCGTCTCTGCGGCAGGGCCGTTGGCGGGTGCTTCTTTGCTCTCTGCGGGCTGCTTGGCTCCGTTTGCTGGTGCTGGCGCGCCGTCTTTCGCACCTTCCTTGGCGCCTTCCTTGGCAGCAGGGGCTGGTGGAGGTTGCATCATGTGCGGTGGAGGAGCATGCTTGAGCTTCACTAGGACCTGGCGCATCCGGGAGAGGTCGGTGGGCTTACCGGGCTTGGGGCCCTGAATGACTGCGATGGATGGCTTCTTGTCCTTGTCTTTCTTGCCCCGCTTCTCGATGGTAGCGATTTCATGTGGGATGAGCTCCGAGATTGATTTCCAGTACTGCTTGTCTGCGCTAGCATGGAATTTCTCCTGGCTTTCAACGAAGATCTGCAGCACACCATGCGTTTTCTGTTATGAATACAGATTTGCTTACAGAATATACCTATAACTCAGAAGTGCCCCTCACGTACCTTCTCTCTTTCCCTGCTATGGACCTTATTCGTCTCACAGGTCTGTATCCTCTTCTCATTGAAAGCTATCTTGAACTCTTCAGCTTCTGCAATTATTTGGGCGCGTAGCTCCTTCTCCTTCCGTTCTTTTTCCCCGAGAACTAGAGCATTTTGCCTGAAACCACAATGAAGCTGTTCAAACTATAGCTCATAGACAGAGCAGAATCTACACCATGCAAGGGAAACCAGAAAAAGGATAATTAAAGGAAGAAAAATTGCTACATCATTCAATTCTACAGGGTACTGTGGCAGGCCAGTTATCAGGGTTCAGGTGTCAGGACACAACACAAGGCCGTTATCCAAGGACATTGCATAACTAGTTGAAATGGGCTCTCTGTATGACAACTATCAGAGCAAAAATGAAGCATACTACTGCCATCATAATGCCCAGATCACACAGAGTGCCCCACAAATTTGGGCAAAAATCATACAACACAAAATCATCGATTCTAGAACTAATAATCTTGCCGTCTTAAATACAGAATTAGAGTTGCCGATAGGCATGCAGCAAATTACAAAAAAAAGGACATTTTCAGAAAATCAATGCAAGTGCAGAGTACAAGAATATGCCACTCAGGCACACACTTCAAAAACACAAATAATGCATGCTTGGCCACTGGCAAACAAGCGGCTGTGTTGTGTTCCAGCTAGCACACACCATTACAGCTTTACTGATCGGTTTTAATGGAGCTTATTTGGTTTTTTGTGTGCTGGCACAGCAAACTGATGTAGTGAAAGTAAAGTATCAGTTATGCTACAGGACATAAGCAACTGAAAGAGACGATATGTACAGCTCATCACCAAAATACCAAAATACCGGTAGCGTACAAGGTAGCTTAGATAGTTTCACAAGCCTACCACATTTATGCTTATGCCCCCCAGCTGTGCAGTTGCATCTTTGCCAACCAAAAAATTAAACCACCGTTGAACTGAACAAGTGAGCCTAAAAAAAGATGAATGTAATCCACCACTTTTCTATGCCAACCATGTAAGCACTTACTCTAAGTTCAGTGATAATCAGTAAACTGTTGACTTGACCATATGGAAATATCAAAGCTTGAACTACCTGCAGAGTTGCAGAGTTGAAATACTGTATATAGACTGTAATTAGCAGATTCAGTTCTACGAGAGATGTCATAAATCCACACGCACGATGAAACTTGGTAGATGCAATCATCCACTGCTCAATTTCCAGTTCCATCCTAACCGAATCGAGCAAACATAAAAATACAGGTTTCCGTACACAAAATTGCAACCGAGTTCAGCACCTCCAGACTGCTGAATCGACTGAACAATAAGGCTATAATAGCGGCACAGAGGCGTTAGATCTAATTCCAAGCGCCGGAACCCTAGCTCTGGCAGGACCAGGGACAGGAAATTAAGAGGCCAAAAACAGATTTTGGGAGCGGTTCTCACCTGCGCCACTCGCGGAGGAGGGCGCCCTCCTCCCGGCCCATCTCGGCCGGCGGCGGCAGGACGGGCCCGCCGTCGTCGCCCCCGCCCCCGAAGTCCGAGTCGGGGAAGAAGGCCGCGGGGGCGTACCCGCCGGAGACGTGGCGGACCGGGACGGCGGAGTCGGCGGCGATCTCCTCGTCCACCGCCTCCTCCTCCTCCTCCTCCTCCTCGGGGCCGGCGTCGGCGAAGGAGCCGTACCCGGCGTCCGCGAAGGGGGCGTACCCTCCCGCGCCGCCGTCGGCCCCGGCCGCGGCGGAGCCGTCGTCGTCCTCGGCGTCGTCGAACGGGTGGGAGGCGGTGCGGTGGAGGTCGTCGGCGGCGCCGCCGTCGTCGTCGGCGAAGAAGGGGTCCATGGCGGGCTGCGGCGGCGGTGGTGGGGAGGGAGGGAGGGGGAGAGGTTTTTGGTCGGCGCGGTGCGGGTGCGGTTGGACTGCTGCTGTGGACTTCGCGTGCGTCGTCCGTGTGGTGGGGTGGGGTGGTGGTTTTGGATTTGGATTTTTTGGACGGTGCGCTTCGCTTGCTCCGCCACGCGCTGCCTTTTTCAATTCTTTCCGTAAAAAAAGGTTTCCTCTTCATGACAAACCCCGAAAATTCTACCTATAGAGTGAACGTTCGCCCGGTGGCTTCCATGGGCGACACGTCCACTGTCACTGAACCGCTGGCACACTCACGCCAGCAACTTATCTCCTCTGCAAATCAGTGTGGGAAGAGGAGACGTCCAGTCCCTTCCTCATCTTTCTCCACGAGTCACCTCGGCAGCTATCTGACGACGCCGCATCCTCCAATTCATTGCCTCTCTCGTATCTACGCCTTGCCTCCGTCGTATACCGTGTTTTCTCCTTCTTGTAGTCGTCCTCCACATGATTCAAGTGTTGCCCGGTAGCATGCTTTTTTCATGAGAGCACGAATTGCGACCCCTGCCCCCTTCAGTTCATTCGAGGTTCATTTTAAGGGGGCTTTCATGGGGTGTTGGTAGGGGTGGGACACAATGGCATTGTGTGATGAGGTTGTGCGGTGGAGGAGGATCTCACCGTGGTGTGCGCTCAATTTCGGGAGGAAGTGGAGGCGCGGGGTTGGTCATGCTTCCTTGACCCCCTTGGTGGAATTGAACGGAGAAAGGATATGATGGTGGTGGAGGTTAGATCGCGTGAGCTCCAGGGTCGTCGAACTGTCGAATGCAGCAGGGAAAAGAGGTTGTAACAGCCCAAATTTTCTAATTTTTTTAGTTAGCGTAAAATTAGGAATGATTGTCCGAGTGATCAAATTTGATGATGATTTCAGGCTTTTGAGTTTGAATATCAAGACAGAGGGAATAAAAGGACTTTCCTATGTTTCCATTTGAATCTTTCTTTGCTTCTTCAAAGTATCCAAACCCAATCTCAACTCCAACAATAGTTGGAAGGTTTAAATAATTTTTTAAATTAGAATTAATATATGCTTAAATATTAGAAGGTTATATTCCAATTCAAAACTTGGAGAGAGAGGAAGTAACAAGGATTCCTCAAATATTAATTGGGATTGAGTGATTTGGAGTTCAAATGTATTCTGCAATTTAAACCCTATAACTATTTTAACGTTATTTTATAAGGCTTATTATAGCCTTTGTTACCAGAAGGATGTTTTTGCTATATATTTAGGTAAGGAAATATTTGTCGTAAGCACTAACTTTGTGAGTTATTTAATTTTTTTGGACTTCTAAAAATTGAAATAGATTTATTAGAGGTTATATTCTATTCATAGTTGTTTAACGGAATTTAGGAAAATAATTTAGAAAGTAAGGGGTCAAGCCCTCAACACCGTGGCCTAGCCCACAAGCCGAAATGGTACGCAGCTAACACGAGGCGCGAATGAGGCGATTCCTATTGGGCGCTGTGAGAATCAAACCAGGGACCTCTTTCCCATGATATACTGCACTAACCACCCCAACCTCAACACATTGTTGTTCTAACTACTCTTTTTACTTCTTTATCTTCTTTCTTTTCTTTTTTTCTTATTTATTATTTTTAGTTTCTTGTTTTCTTATCCACTACAATTTCATGAACATTTCCCAAAATCGGCAAAGTTTTCTTAAAATCGATGAACTTCTTTTAATTTGTGAACTTTTTACAGAATTGATGAACTTTCTTCAAAATTGATGATCGTTTAAAAAAATCGATGATATTACAGAAATTCTAAAAATGATATACTTTTTTCAAGGTAGATGATGTTGATTTTCCAAATTTGATGATTTTTTTTCAAATTCAATGAACTTTTTTTTCAAAATCGGTGAACTTTTTCAAACTCGATGAACTTTTTTCCAAAATTGCTGAATATTTTTCGACATTAATAAACTATTTTCAAAATTTATGAACTTTTTTCAAATTAATGAACCTTTTCAAATTCGATGAACTTTTTTCACTTCCAATGAACTTTTTTAAAACTCGTGCTTTTGTTTTCAAATCCGTGAACCTTGTCACCTCCATGAATTTTTTCGTTTTATTGATTTTTTCCTTTTTTTCTTTCTCAAATGGGATTGTGTACATGGGCTGGCCCACCAGTGCCGACCCGTGGGCGCTAGGGATCTTCCTGATGCCTGAAGCGCTGACTAGGAGCTCCCCGCGAATGATGGGAGCAACTAACCAAGGAGTTCGCCCCAGTTATTTTTCTTTTCGTTTTAGTTTTTCTATTAAGTTTCTATTGCGGATTTTTAAAACGTTTTTCTCTTTGGTTTTACCCCTCTTGAAATTCATGTACTTTGAACATTCGTTTAAAATTCATGCACTTTAAACATTCGTTTAAAATTCATGTACTTTAAACTTTCGTTTAAAATTCATGAATTTTTTAACTTTATGAACTTTTCAAAATTCCTGAATATATTTTAATGTGCATATTTAATTCCTGAATATATTTTAATGTGCATATTTAATTCCTGAACAGTATTTGAATTAATGAATATTTTCAAAAATCGTAAATATTTATAAAATTTTGTGAAATTTTTTGAACTTGTGAAAAAATTAAATTTGCAAACATTGTTTTCAAATTATTACTTTCGAAATTATTATTATGTAAAACCAATTGAACAAAAAAATATGTGAAAAATTTGGCTCGCTTGGTCAGCTCCATGTGCACGACGCGGCCTGGGCAGCGTGACGGACGCTACAAGGCTGCTCGAGTTAAGCAATGCATAGCAACCCCTCCTCCACACACACACACACACACACACACACACACACACACACACACACACACACGAGGATCGCCCGATCGAGATCGAACGTCTCCTGCATCCCCTCTATATATTTCCTTTGTTTTCTCTCACTAATATGAAGGAGCCGCCCACCGCCTCCTTCCTTCAAACAGAGTCCTAGCTCACCCCGACATCCATGGCGTGATTGTTCTGAAAATGTTTGTGCACCGCCTTCCCGTGCCTCCTCGGCAAAGCTGAGGCCACCAATAAATAGGCCATGACCACCGCCACCAAGGGGCACACTTGTACCCCTTGAAAACCTAGGAATCAAGCATCCCGAGCCTCCTTAGGTCTAGATATGATGATCTAAATTATATCACTGACGCATCGAGCTGACACGTAACCATGACCATTAATATTAGATCAAGCGGCCAAATTCAAAAACGCTCCACTGCACCAAGATGAGCAACGCGTTCGATTCCCTTGGGCTGACTATCACCTTTGCAGAAAAAGCACCTAGAACATCAAACTACCATAAGTTTTTGCTGTGGTAACCAAATCCAGTGAAACTTTTTGAATATTGTTACTTTTGAATTTGTCTAATTGTTCAAACTACTTATCTATATTTTCAAAATTATTCAAAAAATGCAGGAATTAGATGGCATGTCTGTCATATCAATAAAGGCATGTTAATTTTCTAAGTGCAAGACGTAGGCCTTGTTCTTTTCCTAGTGTTTAGTGCAAACTATCTTGTGTGGGATCTAGGTCCAAACTTGCACTTCCTCCCTATACTAGAATCCAATAACTTAATTAATGGCATATGTGTATCTAGAGACAAATTAATGCATTTAAATGACATTAATTTGTCACCATTTTATTTTTTAATGAATTCCTCAATTACATTAGCAGCCATCCATATCTCATTCATTATATAATGATTGCCGGTGCATAATTTCTCCATCACTACCTACCAAGACAAGTATCGACATCTCACATCAACACCACAACATTACCAAGATGAGGGCAACCCTTACGCTACTCCCGACCCTCGCTTTCGTCATACTACCATGAGGTATAGTCCATTCATGCAACAACTTGCTCTAGCGATCCATCGTAGCAAATTATAGTAATAATGGGTGTTTTTTTTGTGGAGATGCTTTTTAGACACAACAGATTGAAAAGGTTGCCAGACATTTATTATCCCGCCACTGACAACATCATGTAGTCCGACGTTTGTAGCAGCTCATGCACTGACTGGTATAACCAGAGGGGAAGGGCGAAATGCAAAGAAGGTGCCAAGTGTGACTCAGTGTCCTACTGTGTTCCCGACGGCTGCAACTGTACGTTTTGCGGAGATTTCAACTATCCACCCATGGGTCCTATAAAGAAAGTGATATTGACCAGCTAGGACATCGATGTGTAGTTTTTGCAAGCATATGGTGTGTAAGTCAAAAGAGCATAAAACCCAATGGCCTTGCATGCATCTTAGATCATACATGGTTTTTGTTAGTGAAATATGATTCGAAATAGATGTGTCTTCAAAAGGTATCGCAACATATAGGATCCCTTATAAGTTTATGTATCTGTATCTCTCTT